GAGAAAGCTGCTCCCTCTGTGAGGCAGATACATGCTGAACTGCGTCTCAATGGCTCTTTAACAACAACCGGCAGGCCAGAAAACACATCTTTATGTGTTTAGAGGGAAATAAACCGCGGTTGCTGGTCTCTGCTGTGGCCTCACTGCTGACTTTTGATCCAACCAGTCACTAAAGTCACATTCACATCAATTAAACCAGTGTTTTTATACCTTTTTTCACCCAAGGTACATTTTTTCATTGAAAAATCACGAGGCACACACCAACCAAAAATGTCAAAGAAATCTGTAGTAAAGTGTAAAGTGACACTATAGTTATTCTTATCTTATCTTAAGTGTCTTGAATAGGAATCAAATAAACACAAACATTTCTTCTTTCAAATTGCTCTTAACATGTCCACTTCAATATACAAAATTATATACAAAATCTAATGATAAGGAATTATTACATGATTACGCCACCAGTCACTAGTACAGCACAGACACTCAAAAATGCTCATTATTTGCCAATAATTAATTCCTTATCAAAAAATCTTTTTAGACCAATTAGTTGAAATAGGATGATTTTCTACGGCACACCTGACCATCACTCACGGCACACTAGTGTGCCGAGGCACAGTGGTTGAAAAACACTGAATTAAACTCCTGTTTTCTGTCCCCATAAGGTGCTGTGTGCACACAGTTAATCTTTTATCTTCTCTGCTATAACAGCAGGAATTTTATGCCGAGTCATTGAACACGTACATAAATGTAATCCGGATGAGATCACAGTTAAAGAACTCCCAACAAAGAGCAAGGAAGGAAGTATTTAGCGTCTGAAAACCGCATAAAACGGAGTAAAAAGGCAAATTTGACCACAGGTGAAAAGCTTTGGAGGGATTTCAGTTGGACGTTGGCGACCCGAACGAGCCGCATGTGTTTTCCTCTGGTGTGCTGAGTCACTAAACGGGACGAGTTTGAGCCTGATGGGGGGGGGGGGGGGAACTAAACTAACCGTATTGGAACAAGAGCGGAAGTCTGACTTGTAGATGAACGTGTGCCCCCAGGAGGCCATGTGCGATGAGGACATGCCTGCTGTGTTCCAATATTTCACACAGGTACCCTCACCTCCCCCCCCCCCCTCTCTCCGGCCCTCCTCCTCCCCCCCGGCTCAGTTCTCTGCGTCTGTCTCCCACCAGGAGGCGCTCTGCGAGGAGGAGCAGGGCGGCCTGGACCCCAAGGACCCCAACAGGCCCCGCTTCACCCTGCAGGAGCTGAGGGACGTCCTGCACGAGAGGAACGAGCTCAAGGCCAAAGTCTTCCTGCTGCAGGAGGAGCTGGCCTACTATAAAAGGTGACCCACCTGACCCTAACCCAGACCAGGGCCAGGAGCAAAGCCTTATTAACCCTTTAAAGCCTGATCCAAGAAAAAAAAAAAGGAAAAATATTGGATTTTTTTAGTCTGAAGTCTTTCTTTGGCCCCTCAACAATATATGAACAAAAACCCAGAAATTATTTTGATCAAATCAGCGTACATTAAGTCAAAAATATATTTTCCTGTAGTCTTCTACTGGCTGTTATCAGGTATATCTGAATGTGTACAACAGGGGTTTGAGCAAAGCTTTTAACATTGAATGACGCAAAAAGTCTCCGATCCAAAAGACTTCAGAAACCGTATGAATCAAATATGATACACTTGGCATTATAGAGTTAAAGCAGCCCAAAAAAAAGATACACAGCAAGAGAAATGAAGCATCAGGGAAAACAGGAAGGAGAAGGAGGACAAACGTGGGGCGAAAACACAGAGGAGATGGTAGCTGAAAGGGGGGGGGGGGGGGGAAAGGTGGGCCAGGACCCAGACAGCACATCGAGAAACGGAAAACCAAAAAAACGTATTGAAAGAGCAAACCTTAAGGGAACTCAGCATGCCCAGAGACAAGGATCTGCTCGTTTTTCTCTCTTTTCCGACA